CTCTCTCTCCCCCCCCCCCCCCCCCCCTCCCTCCCGCCCCCTTTGGCCTTCCCTCCCCTCCGAGGACCTCCCCTCCTTGTGCCACCTCTGTCTGTCTGTCTCTCTCTCTCTCTCTCACACACACACACACACACACACACAGGCGTCCAGCTATGGCTGGAGCTGCCTCCTTCCCTCTCACTCTCAGGGCACTGCTATTGGTGTTTCCGTGTGCTAGTGCTTTGGAGCAGTCTGGTGGCTTGCTGCTGGCTGCCTGTTGTCTACCCTGCTGGGCTGTTAGGCAGTGCCTTTTTGAAGACTCTGGATCTCATGGCTGACTACCGTGGTCCAGACAGCTCTACAGGTATCCCGCCTGGCCTGGCCCGACCTTTTCCGAAAATTGGTGGGGCCCTTCCACCCGCAGGGCTTCACTTAGGGCCCGTATGGTGAAACACTGCTGGGGCCTGCACAAGCGGTGGAGCATGTGGTTTAATTCGATACAGTGCACAGAACCTTACCAGCCCTTGACATATGAAAGAAACTCCTTGTAAGAGTGTACTTTGACTTCATACAGGTGCTGCATGGCTGTCGTCAGCTCGTGTCGTGAGATGTTGTGTTGTCGTAAGTAGGCCTGTCGGGGATGCTGGACCCCATTTCCAGGGGGTGTAGCTTCCTAGCAATAGATGACAACCATAGGGGGGCCCTCCCATTGAGGTTGCGCATATCATATCCAGACCTCGGTCCTCTACTGCAGGTAGTGTAGAGTCAAAAAAAAAAAAAAAAAACCCAAAATATCTCCTGCAAGTCGCACCTCAAATACAGCATACATACGTTGTATTCAAATACAATGAAAGTACCTTGTATTTGAAAATTTAACAGTGATTTCCTATAACCCATTTTTCAGAGGTTGCTCATATCATATCCATACCTCGGTCTTCTGCTGCTGGTAGTGTACAGAGTAACAGTGGGGAAAAAAAAAACACACTCCGAAATATCTCAGGCAAGGCACACCTCAAATACAGCGTACATACTATGTATTCGAATGCAACATACATGTCTTGTATTCAAAAATTTAACAGCGATTTCTCAAAACTCATTTTTTGGAGGTAACTTGAATACAAGCTACGCACCTTGTTTTCGCGTTAAGACTGTAGTTCTGACCTTGCCTTACACCAGCAGAGTATTATGAAAAATCGCTACTCGATACCTTTTTGTTCTGACATGGGCTAAAATTCTGCTAAATGGTACACGGCTGATTCCCGCTATCATATGAGCTGACTCTGTCCTTGCCTTACACCAGCGATGCCCTCCTCCCCCCACCTCCTTCGTTTCCACCCTCCTCCATTGCTGTTCCCTGTCCTCCTTAACCACTGTTCCTTACTATTGCTGCATATCCCCACTGTCTCCCGGCTCCCCCTTACGTCCCAGGGTAAGAATTTGCAGACCTCTTGAAGAGGCTGTTTAAAGCTTGGATGCCAATCGCTGCCAATCCTGGCGGTCCTACACTCTCTTTGATAACCCTGTGACCATCCTCTTCTCGTGTGTCGACCCTACGATCGTAGCGACACCGCCTGCTTCCCTTTAATGGAGTCCCTCGTTCCACTGTTTAGTTCCTTCTCCCAGATAACTGCCATTCTTCTTCCGCTCAGGACCGCTAAGTACATGTGCCTTTGTTGGCGATGTCAGCCGAATGCTGACTCAGACTTCCCTGTTGTCGTCAACCCTAAATCTGGTTGACTACTATTCCCGAATTAATGAAGATTAAGAAAATGAGGATTAGGAAGAGACCTACCTCTCTATTCACAGCAACTTGTTTGATTCGACTAGGAAGGTAGGAGGATAATGGGCTACCTTGTAAGGAACTAGTCGGACACCTGTTGGTGCGGGTATTGAAGTTCCCCCATGCGCCGTCGACGATGGCGGGGATGGCGGCAAGGCAGCAAGAGGGGACAGCCACCCGCCCGCTCCAGCGCCCGTTCGGAGTGTCCAAAATAGCGCAATCGCCCAGCCGCGGTGACGTCACTAAGCAACAAGCTTCTTTATCTGATTCTGAAAGTAGTGAGAGAAACACAAATGAATGAAAAGTTGAAAACAACGATAAATAAAAATACTTTTGAATCTTAAAAAAGATAAAGAATTCAGAACTCTCAAGGTTGGAAATGGTTACATGTGCAATGAAGCTTCAACTGACTCACACATTGCAAGCCACCGCTCTCACGACTGATAGGACTTTCTTGTGTGACCTACATGGTCGCAGCTCAAATTTAAGCAGTGCAAGCTCGTAAATGAAGGAGAAGAAGCCATGAGGGGATGCATGCCGAGTCGTAATTCTCTTTCCGCACTAGTCAATCCAACTCCTGACAAACTCCTGAGGTTATTATGTTTCCAAGCGTCCTCATTCTTGAAAGGCAAAGTTTAACTTACAACCCCAAGGACCACAGCCTCAAAACTGCCAACCAAATTCTGTCCATTTGGATCCTGTGAGATCCTGCACGACTTAGATAAACCATAACCTTCTTGCTCTTTCTAGTAATGACCTTCCTCCTGTGGCATTACTACGTATTTCACGTTCTAGAGCTTCTGTGATGTCCCATAGTCCAGGTGCTACTGATCCAGAGTCCCTCAGGGGCTGGATAATGTGAGCTCCACTGAAGGCTTACGTTCACCATAGCCGAAGCTTGCTGACAGGTTCAATGAATGCGGTTCTTCTCCTAGTGCCTTGGCGCTGCTTCCTGTAGGAAAGTGCTGTGGCAATAGACTGAGGAAAGGCTGAAGGAGTCTGGCTTCCTTTTTGTCCAACATTGGAGGGACTATAGAATGACTGAGTTTTTATGGATGGGAAGGTGAGAACCTGCTTCTACATTAGACTGGGCTGGTGCGCTCTACAGGATGTCTCCTATTCTGGAAGCTGCATTAGGCAGAAGGATGCAGGCTTCCAGTTTCTCCGTGATTGGAAAGACTATAGGATGACCAACTGTGTATAGGCTGGCAGGTGAGGACCTGCGTTCGCCTTATACTGGGCTGGTGAAGACTAGAGAACGGCCGAGTGTGTGTAGGCTGGCAGGCGAGGACCTGCCTCTGCCTTAGACTGGGCTGGTGAACCCTGCAGCATGTCCGATTTTGAAAGTTGCATCACCAAGTGTGTATAGGTTGGCCGGCGAGAACCTGCCACCTACTTAGACTGGGCTTGTGGGCCCTACGGCATGTCCTATAGCTTGGCCGCCTATAACCTGCCTCCGCCTTAGACTAGGCTTGCGGGCCGTACAGCATATCCTATCTTGGAAGGTTCCCAAACCTGGAAGCTGCATCTGGTATTGTCAGATGGCATAGCCTGCAGGACTGGTTCAGGCTGTGGCTTTATTATCTGAAGGGACGTTGTCGGAAAATCTGCAAGAGATTCTTGCAATTGCTAGAGACCTTTGCATGTGCAAAATTATCAAGTGTGTCCCTTAACTTTGCTGCAGTGTTTTCCTCCTCGGGATTAGGAGAAGGGGGAGGTATCCAGGAACACAGAAAACGACAGACGACCACTATTGGCCTTGGTCCACTGCTCACCATATGGACAAAAGCCAAAAATATGGCGCTGTATCTTTCCATGTTCTTGCAGAAAGATTCATTTTCGTTTTGCATGTTCGGTGAGTAGTGGAGCAAGGCCATGTGTTGCACGCACAGGCAAACTTACCATGTCTACAACTTTACACAAGTTTACGGATATGGTACAGTCTCAGTCCTACAGGGCATGCAGGTAAGCCCCTTAGAAGTGGCGTGCAGGTAAGCCCCCCCAGACTGTAGAAGTGAGAACTCGGCACAATGTCCAGATATCTTGAAGTCTAAAGTCCGCCTGGATGCAGAGCATACTCGAATTAAGATTGTCGTTTTTTTTTTTTTGTATTGGTCCAGGCTTTCCTTTGGGTATCTGGCCTGAATTAAAACAGATTCAGTTGAGGAAGTCTTGGTGTGAGTACGGCCTTTTAGTCAAACTCGGAGAGCGACCATCGATTTCAATACAGATTAGGTTGCAGCATCGTCTGCGAGGTGTGACATGGGGGGTGTCTTGTCTGATCCTCCCTTTGTTCCTCCCTTCCCCTCCCCCCTCGGCCCTCCCTCAAAGTTCTGCATGAGGCTTGGTTGGCTTTGCTGTGCACCGATGGTCTTAATGGAGTGGGCCTTTGGGGAGGTATGGGGATTTAATGGTTAAAAAAACTGTTAGAATTTTATCGAAGTTTTTCATGATCCATTGGTTTACTGTCTGCTCTTGTGAAGAGTCATTTTGCCGAGTTTCTTCAGCATGGTTATCAGAAGCACCTTAGTGTACTCTACTTGGTACTCCTGTGCCGGATTGGGGTACAGCTAAAAAATCAAGGTAGAATTGATTCCAGAAGTTCTTTCCCAGTAATTGAGGCCCACCAACGGGCGTAGCACAGTTGGTGCACCCAGGAACTGTTGAAATACAGACCCAAGTTCAATCCAGATACAATCAGATGATCAGAGGACAATCATTCTGAATTACCTGGGCCCGGTCGGTTCAATGATGATATCTCAAGGCGGTCACCCTTTCTTTATTTATTAAAAAAAAAAAAAACAGAAATTGATGTCCTGTCCAATCATCCAATTTGTTTGGTTCAGTAGCGCTAGCTCAATTATAATTCCGTCACTTTGTAGTACCCATCATGCTCGCATTTTTTCCGAGTTTCCTTAGGGACCTATTCACTTGAAACTTTTGGCGATTGTAGCTTGACTGAATGCAGAAACCCTTGAAACTTTTGGTGATTGTGGTTTTCATGTGATAATTTGTTGACTGTCTGTAACGTTGCTTTTTGTTGTCGTGGTGGGTGTGGGTCCTCATGCAGGGTTTACTGCTGTGGTGTTGCTTATTATAGATTTGAAGATGTTTTAGCCTTTGGGTCTTGGATTTCGGTGTCTCTGTCTGCTGTAAGTCATCATACGTTTCTTTCTGTTTCTGTTGTGCCTTAAATAATGGTGTTATATTTGCCTTCGCGCGGGTGGGCTTGTGGTTTCAGAAAAGCCGAAATTGCCGGACAACTTTGAAGAAAGGACGTGGGAGAAGCTGAAGGAAGCGGTTACTGCGATTCATCAGAAACAGTCTGTATCATGCAGCCTGGAAGAGCTTTACAGGGTAAGGATGCCGAAGATTGACATTGTGGTGCTGCCGTTGATGGATAGACATCATCCGGTGCACATTCATTTTGTTAACTTTCCAAAAGCGAATAGACGCAGGTGGATGTTCCTCATGTCAAACAGAGGAGAGAGGGGTCTGTACTCTCTACCTCGAGGTGGACTTTTTAAGGACAAGGGGATATTACTCTTGCATAAAGGTGCAATTATCTAAAAATGCCTGGATCTTGCTGCTTTGATACCCGTTCTGCAACGACTGAAAAGTGCATTATTGATACACAGTCACACATGCTGGCAAATCTAGACACAGTTATGATTGAAGGACTGAATGGACGCATACCAATAATGTCATGCATGCAAGGCAAACTTCACCATGCGGGCAAATCAAGACACAGCCATGCATACATGACCCCACTGGAAAGGGTGAGCGGAATGGTACACAGGCATGCATGCAGGCAAATCAATAGAACTCGTTTGGAGTTGCCCCGGCCGCTGCCAAGCATACTAAACCCATGGGGTCCAGGGTGCATCCCCCTTTCTTACTCCATTACACGTGCTTGGGGTTTAGGGTATGATTCAAAAGTGCTTACCAGGGCCCGCGATATGAGCACTTGCGCATGTATAGGGAGTATTAGGGACCGAGCACCTAGTATCGGAAAAAGGAAAATGGCAAGAGATTGAAAAGATATAAAAGGGAGGGGGGAAAACAATGTGTGTGTGCTGCCTTATCTTGCATTTTTCTTGTATTCCTTTTGCTCACTTTTTGTTGCCTTTGGTATTCAAATGTGCTCTTAGTTGGTAGCTGTGTGACAGTGAAAATGGCCCTGATTTTTTTTTTCTTTCAGTTGGATGCTTTTTGCTGTTGAAGCAAGCCATCTCGTTGGCAAAATCTGTTGCAGATCCAACGAAGGGGTGTGAGGGCCTTAGACTGAGTTTGCCCACAAGTGTGGTTGCTGCCTTGATCTAAAACTCTGGTGAGACAGGTAGGGTTAGTGGCAGGTTGTCACTGATGTTTTTTTTTCCCTTTAAATCCGAGTTTGGGGCTGGACTGCGTTTGGTGAGTACAGCCCGAATCTGCTGAGAAACTTTTGGCTTTGGGGTGGGTACAGTGGGGCGTAGAGGGCTTGGGGGGGGGGGGGGGCGTTGTTGTTGTTGGGGCCAGCTTACGAGTTGATTGCAGAGGCTGGGCCTGCACATTCTTCCAGGAGGCCCTGGGCACAAGGTACTGGGACAGGAAGAGCCTGGCTGCGCCCTATTCAGCCAGCACGGAAGAGAGAAGGCTTCCCAGGCTGCATTGAGGTTGAGATGCCCACGCTGCTGGATGAGGCAGTGCTGCTCAGCGCCCGGTGAAGGAAAGCCGCTGCGATGGCAGCAGGGAGGAAGGAGGTGGGTTTGAGACGCCCACGCTTCTGGATGAGCCAGTGCTGCTCAGCGCCCGGTGAAGGAAAGCTGCTGCGATGGCAGCAGGAAGGAAGGTCTAATGCAGGAGGTGGGTGCGTGCGACAGCCGGGCAGTGTGTGCCATAGCCGAACGGTGAAAGCGCGGTGGTCCTTTGGAGTGGGATGGGAGGCAGTGGGAATGAGGCACATACCTGGTGTTGACAAAGACTGGCTGTGTGACCAGAGTCTTCAAGCAGAACTGGGTGAGCAGCATCAGGCGATTCACGCGTGGTCAGAGAGCGGCATGAAGATAGGCTAGGCTAGTAGCAGCGTAGGGAGTAGGAAGGGCAGTGAGGCTGCCAATCGGGAGACTTCGTTGTCGTTGTATTGATGTTGGAGATGAGGGATGGGCTTTTGTATTGCTCATTTGTATTTGGTTTGATTTCCGGTTTCAATTCCGCTCTCAATTATGTCTGCCCTTCTGTGAGATGTTTGCAATCTGGTTTATTGCTGTTCTCATTGCCAATTTCCTTGCATTGGACAATAAGTGGAGCTATGCCCATTGCTTGTGCCTTTTATGGGAATGACGTGCATCACCCAGTGACTCAGAGCATGAAAAGTCTCTTTGTCCCTTAGGATGATACGTCTCTGGATCAGTGCATGTGGCCAGAAAGGATTGGATATGGGAGGGTGGTGAAGCATCTGTCCTGCTGTGGTTGTTTGATTACACCACCGTTATGATTCCGAACTATCAAGTTCTGATGCACTGGTCCGCCCACCGCATTCACAGGGGCTGGGTCCACCAGACCAAAATGGCTGGCGGCACCAGGCCAAAAAAAAAAAAAAACTGCACCTGTGCTGGTTCTTTTTTTCTGGTGCGCGACGACAATCCGGGCCGGGCAAATGAGGCTCGGACATGCCGGTGGTTTTGTAGGTTTTTGGCAAAAAAAAAAAAAACTGCNTGGCAAAAAAAAAAAAAACTGCACCTGTGCTGGTTCTTTTTTTTTGGTGCGCGACGACAATCCGGGCCGGGCAAATGAGGCTCGGACATGCCGGTCGTTTTGTAGGTTTTTGGCAATTCTCTGGTTTCTTGATTGAAAGAGATGGCATTGAGTGAGGACTGTTGCTGTCAAGCCTGGTTTTTTATTGGGTTGCACAGCAGTTAAACTGCTGCTGCTGCTGCAGGAATCGGGACTTAGTTGAGGATGCACTTTGGTTGATTGAAAAAATGTTAAAAGGCCATGCAAAGCAGAAAAGGAATAGCTAAATGAGGAGGGGTAAGTGATGGCTGACTGGTGAATTGATCTACTGGATTTGGGTTTCATCAGGCTGTCGAAGACTTGTGCGTCCACAGGATGGCCCCAAATTTGTACCGAAGGCTGCAGCAGGAATGTGAGTGCCACATCTCTGCAAAGTTGAGGGGGCTGCTTGGCCAGAGTCCAGATCCTGTCGTGTTCCTTACGCATGTGGACAGTGCATGGCAGGACCATTGCAACCAAATGCTGATGATTCGCAGTATTGCTCTCTATCTTGACCGTACATATGTGCTCCAAAACTCCAGTGTACGGTCGCTGTGGGATATGGGCCTTCAGCTGTTCCGCAAGCATCTTGCATCATGCCCTGAGGTGGAGAAGAAGACCGTCAAGGGACTGCTGAGGCTGATTGAGCGTGAAAGGTCAGCTGGCACTGTTTCCCCAGATATTTTGTACAATGTGGGCCTCGTTTTTTGTTGTGCACACTTGGGTGGTCTTCTAATTATGGTGCACCTATGATGGTCCTATTGGTTGGTTCCCCTACCTCTTTTGAGGAAATTTGAGCTTAATTCATTGCGTTGACAGCTGGTTCAAGTTTGTTGGTGGACCGGGGGCATGAAACACCACTGTCTAACGACATGGGGGTGTCTTACATTTTTTTGATGGTTTGCTTCTCTGGGATCGGTTAAGAATGGGTTTTGTCAAACAACTTTTTTTTGCCTGTGACAGCGTGATTGGTTTGGGTGTCTCTTTATTTTCTGGAGTAATCTGTCGATGGACAGGATCTGCTACATGTGCTGCTGCAGATTGACATTGATTCTCATCTTCCTTCTGATAGCTTCTGTATCGTCCTGTTGATAGGAGATCATCGACCTTCTACATCCCTTACATGTGCTCTTCTTGGAAAATCTTCAACCGCTGCAGCGTTTGATGATCGTAATATTATACTTTCAGGGGGTGAGCAGGCATGTGCAGGTCCCTTGCATAGGTGCTTGCTGCAACCCTCTCCGATGGCGAGTGCTCGGACAAGTATTCCACAGGCTGCAGTCCATGCCCATCATTGTGCTGCAAGGCTGCTCCAATCCATGCCAGTTATAGGGTCTGTTGTTAACACAGGTGAGTGCACTGCAGGATCCGGAACGTTCAGAATATGATATTTGATGAGACAGTGTGGAGAGGTTGAAAATGCCATCTGTCCACTCGTATGTTACGGCTTCCCACGTCAATCAGGTCAATCGTGCAGCAATCATGGCGTGGCTGAGACTCCTGTTGGTGATAGTTTGCATCTACCATCTCTCCACTCAAATGGTTTGGCCTTTCTTGACAGTTGGTCGATAGTGCTGCGTATCATGGTCCAGTCTAAGATTCCTTCAGTAGTTTCACCATTCCCAAGGAATGATCTGATGTCCCTTTTTGTCCTCCATCTGGGACATTCTGCAACTGCATCCACCTTCGTGACCTTTGGACTCACTCCAGGCCCATCAGTGACGTGTCCCAGTACGAAATTTTAATCTCTCACTTCCCCAAACTCTTTTGTCTTCACATTGGTCTTAACAGGTCAAACATCTGCTTCAGATATCATTGATGAGCACGAGAGTGTTGTCGAAGTACACCCCCCCCAAACTTACTGAAATGATCTGTGATCATGTCTCTTGGCCCTTTGGAACAATACAGGTGCATCTGTTAACCGAATGTAGGCACATTTTTCCGCCTAAACAACTTCAAATGTGGTCAATTCCGTCTGGTCTGTGGGGTCCACCTCTGTCTGATTGTATCCACTGCTCATGTCAATCTTGTACAAGGCTATGCACTTCGACGCGGTAGCTCGTGATTGTTGATGCGTGCAAAAGTCTCCAGTCTTAATGGTGATGCTATCGCCCGGTGTAGTTGAAAGACTCTAAACTAATCCTCCCTTTTTTGGTCGGTTCCTGGAGTTGGGCTCTTTACTTGTCCAAATTTGCATGGGCCATACGTTGTACTTGCCCATTGGCAGGTTCTGCGGCAGGCACCAGGGAGATGACATGGTTCACGGCTCTCTTCATGACTGCCTACATGTGGCAAAGGCTCAAGTTCGTAATGGTGATGCTGTTGCCCTGTTTAGTCGAAGCGTTGGACCTGATCCTTTCTTTTTTGGTCAGTTCCTGGAGTTGCTTGGTTGTCCAAATTTGCATGGGCGATATGTTATAATTGCCCATTCGGAGGGGAGATGGCATGGTTGATGGCTCTGTCCATGATGCTCACAGGTCTCTCCCTCAGCCGGCTGTACTCTTCCACCAACTGCTGCACTTTCTTAACATCACTATCACGGATGGTCACAAGGTTTGGTGTTGTACCCAATGTCCTTGGCAATGCTACTACGTCCTGTAATTGAAGAATGCTGGTGAAGATATGCACACCTTGCCAGCTTAACTCCTTTTCAACTGCTTTTATACACCCTTTCGTAGTGGTGATCCATTCTCCTGCTTTGTCATGTACGTGCACTCTGTGTAGATGTGGTGATCAATGCTGCCATCGCCCTAGGCCGTCACTGGCCCAGGACCATCTGAATGGGTAGGTCATCCATAGCGAAAAATAAGAAAGAATGTGGAGCCCTGCCTTGTTCATCGACGGTAACGGGGATGACAGATGTGTACCATGTGATCTTGATCATACCCGGTTGGCAAGTTTGACCTTGACAGGTCTGGCACAATCCCACGTTTTCACCCTTGGGTGCAACCTGCCAATTGCCTTCCGAGAGAGGGGCAGTTCTGGGAGGAACCTTTGCCTTCGCCACCATCCTGTCGACAACGGTGTTTATCAGGGTGTCATAGCCAGTGGGAGAATGCAGGGAAAAGCATTGTGCCTAATGCTCCTTTGCGCCTCCTCCTCAGATTTGCTGACACTGCTGCAGTCTGGTTGCGTCAGGGTGTCACCGCCAGTGGGAGTATGCAGGGGAAAGCATTGTGCGTAGGTGGTCCTGCATTGTGCCTAGGTGGTCCTCTGCTCCTCCTCGTCAGAGATTTTCTGACACAGCTGGGATGTGTGTGCAATTGGTTCCACCTGAGGTTGGGGAGTGTGCAAGAAATGGCGCCCTGCTGTCCTGAAAATGTGCTCCACAACCTGTGTGGATCAAACTGCTTCGTCCACTGGCCCTACAGTATCGTGGATGGTGCTTCCCACCACCTCTCAGTTTATCCATAGTGACTTCATCTCCCATACTATCCTTTATCAACTCTACTCAGCCATACCTCTCTACTGATACCCCTCCTCTCCCATGGCTTTCTTCGCTCACTGACCTTGTTGTCCCTTTTTCTTCACCTCTTGCGACCCTTGTTGTTTTTGACTGCTGCAATTGCTTCCTGAGGGAGCAGCCTTTTTTATTTTGCACAAATTTGCAGATTGTATATCCAAACAAGGATGGCCTGACTCTGTCCTTCCTCCAGCACAGGCCCTTTCTCTTCTTCTGCTGGTTCTGGGGTATCTGTTACCCCTCACCTGATCTGCACCACACACTTGATCGTTGGATGGCTCTTGCATCACTTTGCCAAAAGATTTGCTATGAGCTGAATCCCTTGGTTTGCCGTTTGGTCGCCTGTGGCACCACGCCTGATATATGTGCCAAGTCCAGCTTCAATGATGCCGCACCCACCAGTAGGCCGACAATTCCTTTGGCTGGGACCCCAAGAGCCTGGCAATGCATGTAGGGGGAGCACATGTAAATACAAAAATGACAGAACCTTCCGTGAGGCTCAAGCTTTCGTGCACAGTGGAGCCGGTTGAAAGCCTTGACTAGATCATTGAGAAATATGTGTTTTTTTTCTTCCCTTTTGAGTATTATCTGATTTATGCTTGTCATCCTTGCGCAGGGGCCATGCTAATCTTCTCTGTATTGTTCAATTTTAACGGATGTTGTGAAGGACGGGAAGATGTGTTGCGTTGCGCTGATTCTACTTCCTATTTTCTTACCGCTTTATAAGGGCGTATGAGATTTGGTTTTCAGTCTCCTTTTTGGAGCATATTGGTGCTGCGCTGCCCCTATCTTGTCGGAGACGTATTTCCAGATGCAAGGAAATGAGCAATGCGAAAGACAGTAAACCCGATTGCAGCATTCCGTAGAAATCATATAACTTAGTTCGAACTTTGAGCAAACTGAGATAACGCCAAATAAGTATGAGAAAAGCGTTGGTGTCACATGATAATGAAAGTCCTCTTCTCACCTCCCGTCAACAATGTCAGCAGTGTAGCTCTTCTACTTCGGTGCTCGTTGCCCAGACTACAGTCAGACAGCTCCTACGCCCCGGACTCCTATCTATAACAGGTCGGCTATGGAGTTCACCAGCCGGATGTACACATGAAGAAACCGCTCGAGCGGTCCGCTTCTCTTCCGTAAGGTGAGTGCTTTGCCACGTCGCCCCTTCTCCCTGACCTCCACATTCCACAGCCCATTGCCCAGGACCACTACTCTGTTGAGGATGGAGTTATAGAGCGATTGATCGGTTAATTAATTCCTTGATGATTTCTACTGCCCACCAAATTGGGAATGGGACGATCCTGAATACATATGGGGTTGCAGTTGGCTGTCTTGTCTGAAGATAGTGTGACTGTATACCATACTTACAACCGCACGAGCCGCACATTCGTGCGGAGTTCCGTGCGGGAGTGCCTGTGCAGGAGTGCCTGTGCGGAATCGCGCAGGTTTTTTATTATTATTATTTTTTTTTTGGGGGGGGGRGGGGKGGATGGGGGGGGGCGTATGACAGGAAGCTGGGGATATGCCGAGTAGATGGGGACATGGAGAGGAGGAGGATGTGGACGAGGAGGACGACGAGAATAGTGAAGACGACGACGAGGAGGAGCAGCAGATATGGGGGAGGAGAAGAGATGGATGGAGGGAAAGAGGAAGGGTGGGAGGAGGAGGAGACATGGACGGAGAGGAAGGGGAGGACATGAGGAAGGTAAGGAGACGAGGAGGCATGGAAGATGGCGAAGTACGAGGAGGAGGAGGAGACAAGGAGGATGAGGAAGTGCAGGAGGAGGACAAACAGGAGGAGGAGACATGGAGGGCAGGAGGTGGACGAAAAGGAGGAAACGAAAAGGAGAAGGGAGGAGGAGACATGGAGGAGGAAGGGGAGGAGGAGCAAGGTGAGGCAGCACTCCTGCATTTTTTTTTCATCCCACTTATAATTTTGGTGGGGGGTCTCGAACGCACCATTTCGACCCCCGGCCTTCTTTTTTTTCGGAGGGGGGTGACGGGTCATTCCCTGCACATGTCGTGCGCCACACAGGATCGGTTGGGTGCGTGCGCCGCATGTCGGGAACTGCCCGCACGAGGTGCGCTTGCATGTATGCTGTATACAGCATACTTGCGGCGCACTCCGCACATGTCGCGCCACACGGG